TTAAAAATTACCGGGATTTCATGGCATTCACCCGGCCGAGTTGCAGTAATCACGGGCTATTAACTCCCCCGTATATCACGGCCATTATAGGGAGCTCGCTTAACATGGGCTATATACCGCTAGGCTGGAGAGAGACTAAAATCTCCTTCATACCCAAGGCAGACATATTAACGGAAAATACTTCAGACTTATAAGGTTGATGTCTTTCCTCCTCAAGATTTTAGAGAGCATAGTTGATGAATACCAACGGGACGGGATAACAAATAATAGACTCTCCCCAGCGCAGCGTGCCTACACGAAAGCCAACCTCCGGTAACCGCTTTACTTTCACTTGTCGGGTTTGTAAAAAAGGGGTAATCAGATAATAAGTATGCCTTGGTTGCTTCTGTTGACATAGAAGGCGCCTTCAACAACATCAGTGCAAGTGATATTACAGGTGACTTAGAAAAATTTGGTCCATACTCGTCAGGCGGAAAATAACTGCTAGGTTAGGCAACAACACACTAAGCAGACAGGTCGGTAGAAGCACTCTTCTCTTCTTCTCTGGAACTTGCAAGTGAACTACTTACTGCTGAGTCTAGAGAGAGGAGGTTTCCACGTTACTACGTATGCCAATGATCTGGAAATTGCCCTTAAAGGCAAAATATACAATTACCCGTATGGACATTCTGTGCTCTAATTACTCATTGCAGTTTATGAGAACCACCCCAACCAAAGCGCTATAGGAGTGATAACAAATCTGTCTGTTGTAAATCTGGTATGAAAACACGTGGCCGCCGTTTCGGCGCTCAGACTAAAAAGTATGTGGCTCTGGAACGCTCGCCGGTTTGGTCAGCTCTATACTTCACACTCTTCAAGACGAACATGCCGTCAAGAAGAGAGTGACAAACACCGACTTAACAGAGAGGGGGGGAATTCAATTTGTACACAAATGGATATATGGCAATAGTTTAATGTCACCGCAAATTACTAAGAGGCAGTCAAAAGTTTTTAATTCAAGAACCTAATTGTTAAAGAATTGGAAGAATGTGACTTAGTTAGGCTTCCGTGCACTATCTGGCACGAAAAGCTGGTTATATTCGCAATGAGATTGAGACAAGTTTGTGATTGAAGAAATTAAAAAGTAGTTTCAAAATATGTATTTTTTTAAATAATTTTTAATACAAAAATTATCCATGCGATTTCTCAAACGAAAGGAGCAGCGCTCTTGAACCAATTAATTTTTTGTCGACCACTCCCTTGGTTGCAAACAGTGACGCTTTATTACTTTCGTTAAAAAAAAATACTAAATTTTACAGCTAACACGCAAAGCAAAAGCAATAAAATACAAAAACAAAAAACAAAAATTAACTAATATTAAACAAAACAACTTTTCTGCCAGTCAACATCTCCAGGTAGGTAATCAACCAGTCAGTCAAAGCCCGCCCCTTTAAAACTAACACTTTCGTAAATAACTACAAAAAAAAATCGTAAACTTGACAACGAGCCGTTAATTGATTTTGGTAGCTGCTCTTTGGCACTGAGCGAATATGCGCTTGACACTTTGCCAGTCCGCCAGACAATCAGCCAGCTCACGCATCCGCACCGAAACCGACACTCTTCTTGGCTTATTTGCTTGTGAAATCTGTGCTGTGAACCGGAATTGCGACGATTTTGGCGGGGGTGGTGTCGACGGCGGCGTTTCTCATGTCTGGTTGTTCAGCAAAGCATGTTGTTTGTATGCTGATTTTTGTATTCGCTGTAACTTTTTCATTAGTGCTTTAATTAATAATGTAGGTACTGACGTTGTTATATGTAAAATTACTGTGAGTTTGTGTGTGCTTTACAAAAGAAAAAATATATTCCAAATAACTTGCTTGTGTTCATCGGCGTAGCCAGAATTAAATTAAGGGGGGTGGTGGCTCGAAACTATTAAGCTATCTTTTCAGCGTACTATATTTAAAATATATGTAGGGAAAATTTCAAAGTTGGGGGGGGAGAGGGGGGTTGGTGTTCTCGGGCTCCAGCCCCTACCTGGCTACGCCCATGCTTGTGTTTACTTTTGCATAATTCATGTGATTTCGCAGCCGCAGGGAATCCGTCTAAGTGACGAAGTGTTTGCTGAAGCTATAGAGGGGAGCGAAACGCCATTGGCTAGACAATAGAAATTTCATAGTAATATTCTCACAGTGTCAATTCTGGAAAGCGATCTAATTTCGCAAGTTTTCTATGTGATTTTCGCGCATACTTAGGTGTATTAAAGAGAATTTTTTAATAATGACAAAAACAAGCGAGGCAGAGCCGAGTCGAGATAATTGCGAGTTTAACCCGATACAATATCTAGATCAAAATTTTGCCAGAGCTACGCAGATCCTACCAAGCAGCTGTAGCTCCGACGCTGGAATGGAAGGTGGTGAAACTACGAGGACGGAATTCACAGGTCGAGATTTGGTTGAGGTAGTGATAGTCTGTCTTTGTATATTACCTGTATGCGCAGCGTTGGGTCCAGTGATTATTTAGCATAGTCCGTATATCGTACTTCACATGTTAGAGATGCCTTCTGATGCACCTAGGACAAGAAGCTGTTCGTGTGATTCCGTCGGTTACAGCGCACCAACAACTGGTCGCACAGTGTTAGGTTGAGTGGGGCATCTGCGCCTAATTATGTTAGTAGATGGTATTCTGGCGACAACGTAGCTGTCCGGAGTGCTGTATTGTGGCATGTTTGCATCTTCGTCCACTGCGTTCTACTAGTCTTCGGCGACCAAACTAGTGTTGTACGTATGTTGCCAACAACAAAGAAAAGAGCAGTCTGTCAAAAGTAACCTCAGTCTGGCTTATCCTGAATCCGAGTTTTTTCATCCGTCCGTAGTGAGTGCACATATGAGAAGAAAAAAGAAGCGAACGCTTTCAGGCGAAAATGAAACTCTTACGGGTATAAGGTTGAATAATTTCAGTCTGCTCTCTTTCGTTCAGGTAATGAAGATGGTTGCTGAGGATTTCGTGGGAAGTAGGGAGAAGAAGCCATCAGTATCATTGCCGGACGCCAATATCGAGCAATAAGTATTAAGTGTTCGAGATCAAGAAACCGGCTTATGGTAACTCAGCGTGCTTCGATCTGTAAAAATTCAAGGGATGGGGGCTAAGAAACATAGTGTTGGGAAAGAGAGGAGACCTCAATGCATTCCAGTAGGGTGGCGTGCAAACAATGCCGAGAGGCTTCGACAACGCGTCAAGAGGGTTTATCTCACGAGGGGGGTAAGGTTGAATTCATATGTTTTCATTGCTGAGGAAGAGAAGCATTATCACCCAAACTTCGCTGCTATTAAAAGTAGGAGGCGCTGTGGGTTTCAACAATTTGTTCAGGCTTCTGAACACTTAACGCCTGTTTTTATTCATTGATGGATTTAGTGCCAATTGTCGGTTGAAATAACTCCTGCATGGCTTCTGGTTCGACGATGCGCAATCACAGAATTTTTTTTTTCTCTGCCATCGCGCTAGGCTGGGTTGGACGGAGAAACTTTTGATTGACCCAAGCTTACTCAAACCAGAAAGGAAGTTACATGCCTTCAGTATTTTACCTAGTGGAATGTTTGAGTTCTCTATGAAGAAAGTCTTTCGATTCGATACTAATTTCCAACTAAATTGATTGATTGGTTTTTGCACTTCAAGAAATTGCGTCAGAAATATAAGGCTGCCCCAGCGACAAAGTTAAAGAAAACTATGAAGCTTTGAAGAAACAGAAATTAAAGCACTTACATATTTTTTGAATACTTTGAATTGAATTGCATACTTTTTTCTGTACTGTAACTTAAATTCAAATTCATTTTATTTGTAATTTCGCTAAAATTATACTAAATTTCAAAAACATATTTTGGTACCTAATTTTCCTGCAGAAAAATTAAAACTCTCATTTCCAATTTCGTTTCCTCTTTAAACAGTTCGAACTTTATTTTTTTACTAGTTTACACACATTTTTTTAACGATTGCTATAACTCAACTTCAATAGTTTTCAATATTCATGTGCTACCCGACCACAGCCGTCACCACTACGACCATAACCTCAGTCGCCAAAATCCTAACCAGAGAATGACCAACAGCGACAGCCGTGGCGACAATGAAAAAATATTTATTTAATTAAGAAAATATGCAGCATTTAATATACTTTTTTTCACTTCATGTTCCATAATGCTCTTACAAGCATACATATGTATGTAGATAAGAACTTAACTATTTTTTTTATTGCTGGCTTTTTATTTGTCTGCTTGGTGTTCTTGCTGCGGTCGTGATTGTTGCTAGGCATACTTATTGAGCAATCGATTGCCAATTATTAGAATTCATAAATATTATTAGTGTTGCCATTTTATTAATTTTTTGGTTATTTTATCCTTAGCGGTAAAATTTAGAATTCGGTGACAAGCGGAATTTTTAGTGTTTATTTAGGAGCTCTTAGCTAGTTTTTAGCGATTTTATTCATAGTGATCGCAATTCTTAACGTTTACATTTAGCACTGCAAAAAATCGATGATACTGAAACGCTGTTTGCTATTACTCATCTTTTAAGGTTTGATGTTTTTCGCATTTCCAACATTACATAAATCCAAAAAGAAATTATCGAATAAAGCTTATAGCGCTGTTCCTTTTGTTTTTGTTAAATAATGAATTTATTTTTCTTGTTTTTGATGAAACACTTATTATTTTTTATAAACATTTGATCTCTAATTTTATAAAATAAAATTGAACTGCGAAAGAAACAATTTTTCCATAAGAGTTTAGAGAATTGAAATTATTTATAAATCTGGCGGGACGGCAAAAAAATAAATGGCAACACTGAATTTTATGTACATGCATATATGTTTGTATATATTTACATACATATGTATACGCATATGTTTTGTTTATGGCAAAGCAAAAATCCAACACATATAGATATGCATTTAAATACATACATACATATTTCGAATGTAAATTGTCCAATGACTTTGGGTATGATTATTATACCGAGTATCTGCGAGTATCAAGATGAGGTCTTTGTGATAAAGAAAACGACAGAGATGCTACATGAAATCATGTAGCCCGCAAAGCGAGCAGATAAACATAGATAGTCAGGCGGCCATTGAGGCCCTACTTTCATAAAACACAAATTCGGATACCGTCGCGGACTGTAAGGAGGCAATAAGAAGGCTAACTTCGGCTTAAAGCTTCCACCTACATTCGGTCCCAGGGCACAAGGGTGTGGAAGGTAATGAAAGAGCTGACGAGCTAGCCAAGAAACGCGTTCTCTAAGAAACCTCATTAGTGATTAGTATACTAATCCCTTTCCAGCTGGATAGGTCTTGGAAAAGAAAACAGTTTAGCAGACTTGCCCAATATTTTGTGTAGTTATTTAAATATTTTGCAAACGTAGTATTTAAAATACATAACTGAGTCGCCAGCTGCAGTATAAGCCGATTTTATTGCCTTTATGTGAAAGCCAAAGGCTCAATATAGTTCTTGGTCCAGTCTTACGATCCCAAGGGTACAACTTACTGAAAAGTATACTCCTCGACCTTTGTTTTCCGAATTCATAATACAAGATAATATATTGAAAATGGAAACCAAGAAAGCTGAGGTCCCTTGGTTTTTTTTACAGCTGATTAAACTATTTATACTTTTTCTCACTGAGTTGAACTTAAAAACTATGTAATTGTTCGAATGCAATACTTATTTTAGCTTTTTACTAACAATAAGTTATTAAATAGATGCAGTACACGGATCCCACATAGTAAAAAATAAGAGAGATAATTTACATATGAATTATATTTAGCAAGGAACTTAATTTAAAGGAAAAGTACTAAATATTGGTAAGAAAAATAGTAGATAGTAGCAAAAAGAAGCTGAAAAAGGTAGAAGAAAAAATAAGTAAAAACACGTAGTAGAACGAAGTGAGAGCAAGCAGTAATAGCAAAAAGTACTAGAAATTTAAAGTAGAAAAAGGAGCAGAAAAAAAGTAGTAGAAAAGGATATTTAAAATAATTAATTAGTTTAAAAACTTGTTTTACTACTTACCAAAGATAAATTTTTAGGTTGTACTCGTCTCTATGAATTACGCTCCGTTTTCTAGTATGTATGTAAGTATGTTCCTATCGTTTTATATTCGTTTAATTTTCCAAAATCTCACAAATCACTTTTCAAATATTTTTAATTTTTAACTAGAAACATTTCAGTTTTGTCTACTAGTTATCTGTGAACGATTGGAATTATTTATTCTTCGATACCTATAACTGGCATTCAAATAAATAAATACTCATTTTTTTATTATCTCTCGGAACACATTGGTTGCTATATATGTATGTACACAAATATGTACATATATTTGTTTATTTATCAGTTCACACTTCCACAACACACACACGTGGCCCAAATCAATTATTTCAGCGCAGTTGAACCTAAAAAAAAAACAAAAACAAAAGCTAGTATTACTTTTCCAAACTACATACATATTTACAACAAAAAGTGAGTAAGTAGAGTTCGTTAAAGTTAATATAGCAACCAGCATTGCTAAACGCTACAACAGCTGAAACGTTATCACGGCTTACTATGTTTTTATATACATACATAGATATGTAAATTAGACTGCATCACTCCGCATACAAAAAAAAAATCGGCACTGCTTTTTCATTGGAATTATAAAATCTATTATATTTTAAGACGTCCACCAAAATATTTCGAAAAAATTTGAAGATTTACGTGAGCTGGATCGATTTGAAAATACCTCCAAAAATGTTTTTTTATGAATAAAAATAGTTTCTTGAAGATGTTTTTTGAAAAAAATTCGCTAAAATGACAAAATTTACGCTTGAAAAATTTGCATAAAAATATTTTTAGAAAATTTTGATGGAATCTTTTTTCAAAAAGTTCTTTAAGAAACTATTTTTATTCATAAAAAACTGCATTTTTGAAGGTATTTTCAAATCGGTCCGGCTCGCTTAAATCTTAACGTTTTTCCGAAATATTTTGGTGGACGTCTTAAAATATAATAAGTTTTGTAATCCCGGTGGAAAAACCGCCACTTTTTATTTGTGATGCACTCTAATGTACATATGTACATACATATTTAATACCCTAGTATTAAACGTGATATTTGCTTATCTTATCTTACAATAGAATAGTACGAGTATAATGCGTAAGTAAGCACGCAACGGCGGCATAGCGAACTGGTGTCGCGCAGCAGCGGACCGGTGTTTGTACTGGACGCACAACCAAACTCACATACAATATGCACAAGGTCTAATATATACATACATATGTATCTACTAGTGTACGGCTAGCGAGTGAGGCGCGTACGCGGCGTATCTTTTAGATACCAATTATCATTTTTATAATGCTACAAACGAAGAAAAGTGTTAGTGGCTGCAACAGAAAAAATAATAAAATACAAATACAAATACAAACGAAAAAGTTATAACACAAACAACGCGTCTTCGTATATTTCCAAATTTTGTCTGCCATACTCAGCTCTTACTGGCATTTGTGACTTAACGTGAAGCTTGTTAGCGCGGTTTTTTTTTGTTGCTACAATGTTATTTTTTATTTTTTTTATTTAATTATTTGTTAGCATTGGTATTGGTGTATGTTTGTGTTCGCGCTCGTTTTATAGCTGCTGCTTTTACGCACTTAGCAGTGCGTCGACGCATACATTAGAGGTTTGTTTCTTATTTGTATATTTTCTTATTTATTTATGGATTTTTTATTAGTTTCCCAACACTCTAATGCCTCTTTTAGCTGCTACTGTACATTGGCAATGCGTTGCAGCTGCTGTGGGAAAAGTGAAGAGAGTGGAATGTTTTTTTTATTTAAATATTTTATTGTTGTGTCTCTTTTAATTAATGATTTAATTTAGCGTGTGCTACTGTTTGTCTAATATCAACACTGCTACCGAAAAAATTAGAATTATGTTTTCTATTTTTATTTTAATCAATGAACCGTGATTCCGTTTAGTTATAAAAGACGACAATACAGATTTTTTAAACTTTTCATGCGGGCCATAAAAGCCCGCCTTGTGGTGCTTTATCAAAATAAACTCAAATACGTACATTCGGAATAGTTTTAATAGCGATATGCCCCATACTCTTTAGAATTAGAATAGAAAATACTTTGTTTAACCTAATCATGAGCAGCTTAAACTTATAAGCGAGCTGTAATATTGAGGAAAAAATAGCATCCAAAAACATACAAATTTTAATATTTTTTATGAATATATAGGTTAGATTGAATATATAACCCTTTTTCACTTTGAGATCTACACTAAACTAATACCTAGAGCAAATCTAAAGAGAAGGCTGTTTCCTGTGGGTTTTCGTTTTCATAACTTTTTTTTTTTTCTGGCGTGGGACCAATAGGTAAGTCGCATTAAAGACAGCGCTAAATCCTGCTCGTCAGTCCTCAGCTTTTCTAAGAGATCTGATGTTCTCACAACCCTGAAATGTTCTTAGATAATAAAGATTACTTTGAGGGTCTTATAGATAGAGTTTCACCCACGTGTTTTTTATTTATTTATTATTATTTTAATCCAAATGATTTCTGTTATGTTTGGGGTTTTCAGCAAGATTTTTCGCACAAAATGCTTATCAAAATACTTTTTATGCTTCACGCAGTCATTGTAATAACCTGAATGCACAGCTTAAGACCAGTAAGTACAGTTTACAACGATACGGCATCGGCTTCTAATTTCAGAAAAATTGTCCAGGAAGTAATAAAATATTCTTCTTTGTTCAAAGTGTTTTTGGGTAGAAATGTATAGACAAGGCAAAAAATTTTAGCTTTTTTTTAAATAAAGTTTTCAGTTCGCCGGAAAATCTTAAATAGAGTTTTTTAATGTAAACAGCAACGCTGACAAATTAACAAAAACTGAACGTAGCAAAAAAAGCTTTTTCAGAATAAACGAATATAGGACGAACCTCTTTGGATAGAATTAGAAACAGAGCTGTCAAATTGGCCCAGGTTGACTAAATAAATCAGTTTTGATGCAAGTGTGTTTAGTTGAGTTCTTATTCTGCAATTCTGAAAGGAATCTATATATAGTACGACACACACCTACAGTATCGGTCATATCTATAGCACGCCATTTCAAAGTGATATTGTATGCCACTCATGTTTACTTATTTATTTTTAAGAATTTTCAATTAAAATATAGTTCATTCTCAGACAAACCCCATATAAACCCAAGTTTAATAATTTGTAGAAAACGACAAAAAAGTGCAAAAATGTTCACCTAAACTTCAAACTTTTTTCTCGGAAGTGTTAAAATTTTTTGAGTACACAGTTTTTAGCCGCTTCAATTTTAGCCTGATAATGTACAATTTTCAATTAGCTACGAATTACCGTTAATTTTTGAGATTTTTTTTTGTCGCATTGGCTTCCATATAATGAATAAACTCAATTTATTTGTATAAAAATTCTTAAAAATCAACGGTAACTTTTAGCCACTTGAAACTTCTTGCACATTATCGGACTAAAATTGAAGGAACTAAAAAACTGTGTACTCAAAGCAGGTAAAGGCAACATTAAATGTGTATATTTGGAGTCAAGGAAAGATAAATGGAAACTGCTCTACATCTTAGCAGAACGAAAAAGGCAACTGCCATAAAATCCATTCCCTGTTTATAACGTTTCGAGTTTTCTTATGGTGATTTCGTTTCTACCAAAAAATGTTGCATTTTGAGTGGCCCTTTAACTTTTCGTGTTCGATTCTAAATTAAAGGCAAAGAAGGAAAATTCTGTGTTCGTTTCTTGAAATGTCACACTCTTGTAAGGTTTGCCTGGCACATTCTCTGCCCTGTGAGGTGTTGTCAGGGAAGATGGTTGCCCCGAAAATCAGATGGTTGTTTACAACGACAATATTATGAAGTGCGTGAGTTAGACAAGGACAAGAATGCAAAAAGTTGACAGGGCTGAGTGTAACATCAAAAACATTTTGGACCCGCGAAGGGCAACATTTTCGAAGTGAAACTTCTTTAGCGACGGTTGGTGTGTTGGGAGTAAATTGGCAAATTGAACGGAAATTGCACACCGAAGTTGCACACGGAAATGGTTGGGACGAAAACAACTGCTTCTTAAATGTATGCACACTAGGGTGGTCCAAAATTCATGTGAAAAAATAAAGTAGGAATTTTTTTGCTCTCACCCCCTAGGATTGTTCTATACCGTAAAAAAGTATACCCGTATTTTTTTATTTTGAAATCACAAAATTCTTAACAAAAAATAAAATAAAATTCTTAACAATAAATTGAATAAGGTTGTTAGTTAATATATGTGTTTTAGAAATTATTTCATCCAGGAAGTTTAATTCATAATCTTATAACTCGATTTTATATATCGTGCACTTTCTTCAAAAGTGGGGCACAATAGACCTGTTGGTCGCAGTGCATACCTCTATTAATTATCTTTATATTCTTCAAAAGTGTATTAGTTCCCTTTAAATTACTACAATTTTTCAAATAGGTGGCAACCCTGTTCAAAAATACTTTCGGAAACCTCTTTAGTTTGGTACCCGTATTGTATTATTTAATTTTTTGCATCAATTTAATTGTATACAATTTTTCATACAGGTGGCAACGCTCCGCAAAAATATTTTTGACAGCAAAATTTCTAAAATCTCTTTAGTTTTATACCCACATAGCAATATTTAATTCATCTTATCAAGTAGATCAAATAAAAATTTTCAAACAGGTGGCAACTTTCTCCAAAAATATTTATATATATGTATATTTGTAAGCCTTCTTAAAGCTCTTTTTTCTGACAGTCATATTGCATTTGCAATTTTGAAACAGGTGGCAACTAACTAAATATTATTTTTCCCTATATTTTAAGTTAGACCTTCGAAAATTCGAAAAAATATTGATTTGGCTTCTGTTGCTCTAATAAAGACCGTATTAATGTTTGTTTAATATCTATAATGTACAGATATCGGCCTGCCTTAATTTTATTACATGAGCAGACTTTTTTATTTATGTTGAAGTTAAATATTTCTTAAATTTTTTACCTTATGTACATATATATTATTTTTTGCTTTGTTATCGATTTAGTTTCTATACCGACCCACAACTTTATACAAAACGAAACAACTCGATACTTTTCTCCGCGAAAAACACATGTTTTTTTAATATGTTTCTATTTGTAAAAATTTACTGACTTTTTTCCAAACTTTTAACAAGTTACATACCTATAGATACCTATTTAACATACATTAAAGCTTTCAAATTCACAGTATGCAAAGAAAAATTCTTGTCACATTTAGTTTTTATTTTATTTTATTTTATTTTATTTTATCTTACTGCTGTTGCGCACTTTCGTCTATTATGTAATTTCATTGCAATTTTGCGTTTTTAAATGAAAAATTGTTTTCTTAGTAACACTTGGTAATGCTAGTTTGTTTTTGCTCAGAATTTTCGTAAAAAATTTGCTTTACAAATTTTTGCACTTTGTTACTCGCACTTCCAATAACTTATTTACATATTTTATTTATTTCTCACGTCATTTGTATTACCTTATATAAAAACGTTTGTCAATATATTAAATATTTTTCATGCATATAATGCACTCATATGTATATTCACTAAACGAATATGTAGTTCGCGTTCGAAAATCATAAATTACACAAAAATATGTTCCGCTATTCACTAACAAAAAATAACTTAACTCCTATTCGGACGTTTTCACGCGCTCGCAATTGAAGAAAGACTGAATCGCTAGCAGACGCAGACGAAAAAGTTAACGCTTGGCGCTTTGTGGGGCTTATGCTGCCGCTGTTGCTGTCGCTGTCGCCGGTGCTGCTGCCACCGGCAATTGCCCGCCTGCCTTTACTTACGTCGTCGCTTGCTGCCGCATATCGCCGCTTGATCAGAGGCCGACCGGCAAACGTGACGATCGCAAAACCGGCTAAATAGAACAAAACAATAAGCTGCTTGCCAACGTTTGCCCAGCTAAAGCAGCTGGCCGAAAAATCGACAATCGACGACAGACAGACGAAGGCAAATTTTGCAGTCAAGTTTGTTTTTGTGCTCTGTCGACGCTGTTGTCGCTGCCGCAGTCGCCGTTACGTCGTCGCTTTTTGCCACCTTGTCGTCTTTGATGGGCAGCCGGCAAAAAATGCGATCAGAATGCGATCACTTGTTGCTGTTCTGTAGTTACTTTTGTTGTTGCTGTCAGTGTTGCCATAGTAAAATTTTTTTCCTCCCGAAACTTCCCACCAAAATCCTCCAAAACCTACCAAACATTTTTTTGAGATTTAGATATTTTTTTTCAATGTTCAATGTATCCAAAGTGTATGAGTAATGTGATATTATTCTTAGCTCCTAAATAGTTCTGCAGTCTATTTGTTAGATGTACCGCAGAATGGCTTGGGACCCTGCAAACGCATTTCGGTTCCACGCTTTGCGAGACAGTCAGACCTTTCGTTGGCTTCAAATCCTTCATGTCCCGGAACCCACCTCAGCGTTACGCTGTTGTTGGCTTCCAGGTGGTCTAAGAGTCCACAAGCCTTGAAGCAGTTTTAAAAGAGTCTAAGACACAATATATATATATTCTGGCCCCATTTGTCCTTCTAGGAAGACATTCGCGAACACAAACTTTCAATTGCAAAGGCCTGCCCCTGGAATATGGCTGGATACGAGCCCATTGGCAGACTTTTCTGGAATCTTGGATAATACACGGACTTACGAATCAGGTATATATACATGTTTGCCGTCGCCGTTATACGAACGCACCGGTGAAATATTCGTGTAAACAGGGTAGCTAAATGTTAAGAGATACATATTTTCTATTTTTCGCAAATAACTATTACTCATTGTCGTAAAGGCTCCAAAATCCAATCTCCTACCAAAACGGAAAAAAACCTAACAGTTTTGGTAGGAAAAGCTCATGTATGGCAACACTGCATAAATTGGGCTTTAATTCTCTAATTGGGGTTTCGCCACTCTCTTACTCAATTGACTTCTCATCTCTTATCAGACGTGCTCTGTCAATCTCTTATGTCCACACTTATAAAGCTTTTGCTTTGTAAAGGTACATATTCAGTCAAGGGAATACAACAATTTTTTGAGCTTGAGACCGAGTTTTTTTAGATGAAAAATTTTATGGAAAACAACATTAATTTACATTTTTGTAACTATAAGTATAGCTGCTATTTTGGAAAACAAAAATTATTGAAATACTTCTACGTTCAATCACATATTCACTTTTGAGATGTGCATATAAAATATGTTACATAAAAAATGGGAATTTGAAAATTTCATTTATTCATTTTTGGCATTCAGTATGCAATAAAACTGTTCGCAAAGAAAAAAATTTGCTAATTTCTAATTAAAAAAAAAAAAAATAATAATAATAACCAAACCAGAGAAAAAACTACCAAACAACCTAATTAGAAAAAAATAAAAGAAAAAAACAACCACGTTTGGTTGGAAACACCCAGCAGTAGCAGTGGTAGCGGCCGTAGAGCATTTTCCCACATATACTTACATAAGTATGTTCATCTGATCAAGCGCAAAGCTATGCCCACTCTTCACTGTATTCGAATTGCTCTCTTTATGCATTTGAGTGGAATGATTTAAGCTTGATGAGTGGAATCGTGCGATGTTTTCGTAATATTGGAAGATCAATTTGAAAGAAGCTTTTTAAAGTAGCTTTTACGTACAGAGTAAAGAATACAAATACCTGAAAAGACTCAAACTAAAATTGTATTGAAAATCTATATAATGAAAATTATGGAAGCTCTCTATCAACCTACGTTTGGTCTCTAAGGAAAATGTACCTTTTTCAGGCATCATTATCGGCTATTATTATTATTAGATTATCTACTCCATCGTGTAGAGATCTTCTATGATACTCCAACGGAAAACAGGCCCTAGGGATCTCTTCAGGGCTAGAGTGGTCTGAACAAGAATGAAGAGAATGGAAATTCCTTTGAATACCTGCTCTTGGTTGACAGATCGCCCTCCAAGGTCGAAGACCAAGACATGCCCAACCACCAGCTGTTTAGACCAAATGCGGTCAAGGAATATCTTTAAGCTCACAAAGCGCAACTCACAATTCTGGTGGATGTGTCGATGGAACATTGTCTGATTGAAACTCATACGGCGAGAAATAGTGTCGTACCGGCAAAGCTAACTTTTAAATATTTTCTATCACATTTTTTAAAGAACCCTCAGGAGCTTTCCAAAGCTAATTATTTACAGCCCATTTCTGTGCTCGCCGCATTACTCTCTACTGACAGCCCAAAAAAAAATGACAAAAGTGGCGAAAATATAAATCCATTGATCGATTTTTTTGAAACTTCATACAAGAGAATTAGAAAATTCAAAAACCGAGGTTTTGGGGTTGCTGATTAGGAATCTGAAGTTAGTTTTGGAAAATATGAAATGGACGATCTTATACGGCGGACAAATATAAAAAATAGTTATGAGAGCACTGTCCAATTCAATCACACTTCGTTAAATACATTTTGATTAAGAATCTACTATTGAAAAATTTTTTGAGTACCGTAACCATTAAAAAAGAAATTTATTCTGGTGGAAGTTGTCCTTCCGAATCTGAAGAAGAAGAAATATGCAGTACTTCAAAAATATACACAAAAATTTACAAAAATATATTGCGAATATTATCTGATCTTTATGAAAGTGGGTGAAATTTCACCTGAAGATCGCTCACGTAACTAGAAAAATAAAACTAAAGATGTGCACTCAAGTGACAAATTATTATTTTACTTATTTTTTATAACACCCGAAGATTGTATGAGGGTTAAAAGCTCTCTTACATCAGGTATTAAAAAAAAATTATATTTTGTTTAGTACATTTGGCCGCCATATTGGATTCATTTTTTTTTGCATTTTGTGAAACTAATACTAATAAAAGTTTCATCTAACTCCTTGTATGCGTAGCAGTTAGTTTTAGGGTAAAATGACCTGAATTTAAAAGTCAACATTCATTTGAAGAAAAATAAATACCTTTATAATTCAAATAACATAATATTTTCTACAAAGAAGTGGAACGTGATTTTCAGAGATCTAGTATTTGCCAGTAATGAAATAAGTAACCCTAGAACGGAAACCCAACATTTACAACCAGAATGCACACCCGAACACATTTGTACCTAAGAATAATTTTTTTATTATATTTTTTTAAAGAAATATTAAAATTTTTAGCAAGCTGTTGTTAGTTTAGATGTAATTGAGTGGTTTAATGATAAGATGGTTTGATATAACTTACCAGATGCAATAATTAATGCGCATTTAATGCTCCTGCCTACACGTTAGAAGAAGAACTGATTTAAAAATTAAAGAACTAAGAAGTCTAAGTTCGGACGAAGTCGAACATTAAACATCCGACGCACGTACTAAATATAATTGTTTCACCTTTCTGAAAACTACTCTTATATGGTATGCAGGAGTGTTTTTAACCCTATTTCATACATAGTATTTACACAGAGCTCCAGCTCTGAAAGCAGCACTCAACGCGGGTCTCGATGGCTCATAACAGAGGAAGGACCTTCACTGCGTTGGATTTTACAGCACTTAGTATTTCCAATTGGCGTCAGTTGGGGCAGTAGTAGAAACGACTGAGGTGCTATTTTAGACTCGGACAAAATCGCTTAGGTGGTTACAGTGCCAATAAAGAAGAACAAGTGTTAAACTATACGGAAAAATGTCTCCCATTAGATTTATACTCGTGAACAATAGTCATGGACATGGCCACTGAGTCAGTAAAAAGTGCATCCAAGAAATAAACAACTCAAGCATTCATACATACATTCATACAATTCATGAGTCATCGGATATCAATTTCAAGTAGCAATTTATTATAGATTCCCATCTAGATAAGAGTACTTCCGCATACGTACGAGTATTTTTCGCTATCAACAACACATGCAAACAATTCAATCGTAAGATATACATATATGTAGATATATATACATTAAGGTGGTCCAAAAAACGATGCCATTTTTTCCCATACAAAACTTGGACCAGTCTCATGTACATATGCACATTAGGATGGTCCTTAAAATCAAATGAGCGATTTTTTCAGTCTCACCCCTTCAATCGGTAACACCACTGTCATAGATATCACATGTAAATTTTGGTCCCGAATGGAGACGGTTAAGTCGTGTCGCACAGGGGGTAAATTTCAGATTCCTCTATGGAGACTAAACAAATTTTAAATAATTTTTTTGTCATGTAAATTTTGGTTCCGATTTAAATAAAAATATGGAAAAATATTAAAATACTCTATTATCGTTAACTTAAAAAACATAAACATATTTTCGACTTCAAACGTAAATAAAATAAAAAATTTACCTCCCCCAAAAAACTTTACGTTAGTGGTACGCGACGATGTTCTAGCCGTGACTAAATAAATAAAACCACATGTGTATTGTCATAAATATTAAAGCTCTTAATTATAGTAAACTTTTAGAAAGAAAAGCATAACTTTGACTTCAAACTTAGATACAAAAAAAAACTTACCTCCGCCAAAAAATGTTACGTAAGTGGTCGCATGGGGTCAGAACTTAAAGGAGTAGTGACACATGCGTACCCGCCGATGTTCTGGCAGTGACTTAAGTATTTACGTACCCCGCGGGGAGTTAGGAAGCTAGAAAGAGCGCGAGCACGGTCCAAGCACTTCCAGAAATTTTTTTTTTTCAACTTGAAATGGCCTTGACCCCATGCGCCTAATTAAGGGTTAAACATCTCCAAACGGGACTAAAATTTATATGTGATATCATCGACTAAAGTGGCATCGACGTAGGGATTGAGTCTTAGG